ATATATATATATATATATATATATATATATAAAACGGAACGGCCTCTGACGTAATGTTTTGCTTTCTCACAGATTCGATACGTAAAATCAAATAAGTTATTTTTGCTGTACATGTAGATTCCCCCTGTTAACTAAGTCATTTTTTAAAATTTACATAATGTACTTTGAGATTATTATAATTTTTCAAACAATTTAGGAAATGAATAAGAACACTTTAACGAAAGTGCGACAGTGGAATCGCAGCGACACAAACACGTCTACGTGGAGAAGGTAAACAGAGAAGTAGCGCAGCCTCTGCTGACGTCGTTTTCTGGATGTCAAATTTACGCATGAATATGTATAGATAAGACTGCGGTGCGTCATTTTATCAAATATCTCTGTATTTTATTAAAGGCTCGTCGTTACGAGGACAGCTTATGTAAGTTTTACTGTTATTTGTGTATGTGCAAAGTATTACGTTATTTAGCTAGCCGGCTAACGTTAGCCACATGCTAGTTGAGCAGCGTCAGTCCTGCAGCAGCTCGGAGCTGTCAACAAACAGGAATTATCCCTGAAATGTCCAAGTTGTGACTTTATTCTTGATAGCAACATCTAATAACCGACATCTTGTCATCATAAATGTCATGTACACGCTTTTATCTTTGATTAACAGAGGCCCGTTTGATCCGCTACGACTCAACAACCGTGATGAGTTTTTTGACTCTGCTCATGTTGAAATATTCTGATGAGAAACGGATTTCCCTCAAACACGTGCATTATTTGCGTCATGTTTGGCTCTGATTTGTCACTTGCTCAGTCAAGTTTTGTATGCTCCTGAATTGAACAGTTTTCGACTTCACACACATATTTAATGGGACTGTTTAGGAGTCATTGATCCGTCCGTCTGATTACAGGTGACGACATGGACCTGAGTCCACAGGACAAGAAGGACTTGGACAAGTTCATCAAGTTTTTCGCCCTGAAGGTAAGAAGCAGCGGGGCAGCACGGTGGTGCAGCTGGTAGAGCTACTGCCTCTCAGCGAGCAGGTCCCTGGTTCAAACCCCGGTCCAGGGACCTTTCTGGGTGGAGTTTGCATGTTCTCTCCGTGCATGCGTGGGTTTTCTCCGGGTGCTCCGGTTTCCTCCCACAGACCAAAAACATGCATGTTAGACTGATTGGTAACTCTAAATTGTCCCTAGGTGTGAGTGAGTGTGAATGGTTGTTTGTCTCTATGTGTCCCTGCGATGGACTTGCGACCCGTCCAGGGTGTCCCCCGCCTCTCGCACAGTGATTGCTGGACATGGGCACCAGTGACCCAAAATGGAATAAACGGGTAAAGATAATGGATGGATGGATGGTAAGAAGCAGCTCTTGGTTTGTCGTCGTGTTCGATTCTGGATGGAAACACGACCGCGCTTCACGCTCATCTTTGTCTTCAGACCGTCCAGGTGATAGTCCAAGCCCGCCTCGGAGAGAAGATCTGCACGCGCTCGTCTTCGTCGCCCACCGGCTCCGACTGGGTAAGGCAGCGTTTGTTTTCAACGTTCAGCGAGGCTGTAAAATAGTTAAACTTGAGTCTTTTGCTTCCTTCCAGTTTAATTTGGCCATCAAAGACATCCCAGAGGTCACTCATGAGGCCAAGAAGGCGCTGGCCGGTCAGCTGCCGGGCGTCGGCCGGTCCATGTGCGTCGAGATCTCCCTGAAAACATCAGAGGTTAGAACGACTTGAACTTGCTTTACATGGATCTCCAGAGGGTTGTTACCTTCTTAGGCCTGTCGCGATAAACGATAAATCAATTAATCGCATGATAAATGACAATTATCGACCTCATTTTCATTTATCAGCTTCATCGTTTCTTCGTGTCTCTTTCTCCTGAAGACATTGGAGGACAAAAGGCTCAACTCAGGTTCTTCACTGACCCGTCCCTTTCTCTTTAAAACCTATTTTAACGATCGCAAATTGCATTTTTGAATCGTTAAAAGCAGCTAAACTGAGAAGCTAAGCTACGAGCTAACAGGCCGACCTCGGGGGAAAAAACCTCCGTCTTGTTAAAGCTCCAAAATTCACGGTTGAAACTCGTGCCTTCGTGTAAAAAGTTTTGTTGCTCAGCAAAAAGAAGCTGAGAACTTGTTTACTGATTTTTTATTAAAAGCTTTGTGTGAAAAATGCTGAAGAGCTCAAACCACACTGAGCGTCTGCCATTTTGAGAACCAAAGAGAGACAACCCATGTCACGTCAAGGAGCCTCCCTCCCATTTTTCTTAGAGAGACACGCTGCTTGCTCCCTCACTATCCATCCTTCAGTTCAAATTGTTATACTGCCATCCAGTGGTCAAAAATAAACTAACATTTCTTCTTAAATTTGACAATAATTACTAATTGTCAAATTTCAAACAATATTATCGTGCATCGTGATAATTTCTGAGACAATTAATCGCCCAGCAACATGTGTTATGGTGACAGGCCTAGTCCTTCTTGACGTCTGTTTTTCTTGGCGCAGGGCGACTCCATGGAGTTAGAGACGTGGTGCCTGGAGATGAACGAAAAGTGAGCAGCTTGTTTTAGGTTCCACTGTTTGCAGACGACATCGCCTTGTTCTGAACTCGTTTCGGCTGCTGTTCTGAATGTTTTCTGCTCCTGCAGGTGTGAGAAGGACATCAAGGTGTCCTACACGGTTTATAACCGTCTGTCCGTGCTGCTGAAGTCTCTGCTGGCCATCACCAGAGTCACGCCCGCCTATAAGCTGTCCAGGAACCAGGGCCACGACTACGTCATCTTGTACAGGTGAGCCGTGCATCTGGTCCATCGAAGTGTCAAAGATCTGCGTCTGAACGCTGCGTCCTGTTGCAGGATTTACTTTGGAGAAGTGCAGCTGGGCGGACTAGGTGAAGGTAATGTTACTCTTTAATCCCTGTGATATTTGTCTGACACAACCTATAGCAGGGCTGTTCAAGTGAACTGCTCAGGGGCTGGACGTCCAGCAGTTGTCATGAAGTTTGTTTTACGGTTTAAAATCTGGTTTGAATTAAAAATGCTGGGCCGAACCGAGCTCACGGTGGGCCTGGTTTGGCCCCCGGACCACCACTTGAAAAGCCCAGACCTATGACCTGGTTTTCTTATGATCTGGTTTGGTGTGCTGCGTCCGAAGGCTTCCAGACGGTGCGCGTCGGCGTCGTGGGGACCCCCATCGGGACCGTCACGCTGTCCTGCGCTTACCGCGTCAACCTGGCGTTCATGTCCAGCAGGTGAGCGTCCGTTTTAAAATGGCCGTCAGAGCAGAGCTCTATGCTGATGCCCCGCCCCCTCCCTGCAGGCAGTTTGAAAGGACCGCCCCCATCATGGGGATCATCGTGGATCACTTCGTGGACCCTCCCTGCAGCAGCCAGCGACCCGCCAACCTGGGCCATCCCTGCATCTTCAGGTAGCTCCGCACGAGCGCTCGCACTCCAACCTTTTAAATTTGTTAACGTTGTTTCCTCCCTCAGAGCCCGGGAGGAGGAGGACGGAGGAGCGTTCGCTGGAGTTCAGGACTCGCAGGAAGTCTGCACCACCTCCTTCTCCACCTCTCCTCCCTCTCAGGTATTAAAAACTAACGCCCCTCCCGCTCTTCTCGTCTGTTTTTACGCTCGTTTATCTTTTCGCTCTCTTCTCTCCTCGTTGTGACGTCTGTGTGCGTGTGCATGTGTGCGGCAGTGTGTGTGCACTCTGAGCCCCTCTCCTTCCAAACTGTCTAAGCCCCTCCCCCTGGACAGTCTGCAGCTCCCATTGGCTCTCGGACTTGTCACTCACAATGTGAGTCTGTGCTCGCAGTTGACCCGTCGGCGCTCGAGCCTGCGGTTAACGCCTCCTCTGTGTGTCCGCAGCTGTACGCCTCCCGGCTGTCGTACCCGCCCGCCGCTTCAGGAGCAGCCGCGGAGTTCTCCAACCAGGTGACCGACGACGTCCGTTCGGCTCGTTCTGTTGAAGCCAGAGCAGGAATCTAACCGACGTCTGTCCTGTTCAGGTGCTGCACGCTGGGAAAGAAGGCGGGGCTCCTCAGCCGCCGCACGGAGCCGAAGTTCAGCTGACTGTGGAGCACGCCGCTAACACTCCGAGCAGCAGGTGGAGGTCTCCTCACGTCCGTCACACGCTAACGTTCATTCACTGAAACGTAAAAATATAAATAGTTTCCCCACGTACGTTCGGCTGCTTCAGGTGTCGGAGCGTTCAGCTCATTCAGGACACGACAGCTAGGACTTTTAGCTGTTAAGTTTTTGGAACTTTATTCACATTTTTTTGCTCTCATGCACGTGAAATGAGATTCTGTCGGATTAAAAAACAATTAAATCCAGTTAACTGTCATCCACTGGTTTGATGGCTTTAGCTTTCAGCTGCTGTCCTGCAGTGCTGTTTCTATGAACGTTTTGATTAATGTAGCTTTTAGCCACTCTTCTGCTAATTCTAAAATTTGCTTTTCTAATTAACAGTTTCTCGCCAAGTTTAGCTAATTGTAGCTTTTAGCTTGTTATATTTAGCTTTCAGCTATGGTTTTTATCTGCTGTTTTTAGTATTTAGCTTGTATTAACAGTTTGGCTAATTGTAGCTTTTAGCCACTGTTCTGCTAGTTTGTTAGGCTAAGTTTAGCTTTTAGCGTTCGACTTGCATTTCCTCAGAATGCGTCTCGTCGTTGTTTTGTTTGTTGTTGTTGTTTTGGTTGAAGTTGTCGTCTCTCTCAGCGGTGATGAAGACGTCCTGCTGCAGAGCGGCGAGGGGCGGAGCCTCTCCCCCTCTGACCCGGTGGAGTCCCTCATGGCGTTCAGGAGGAAGGTCGGAGCGTTTGTCAACAAGCCCAGCACACAGGTAAACAACAACAACCGGCTCTCTCCAGGTGTACAGCGACCTGACTCTATGGTTGCCTAGGTAACCGCGGGCAGTCTGGACCTGCCGTTCGCCGCCTTCGCTCCTCGAGGACTGGACTCTGAGGAGAGCGACCCGATGGTACGGTCAGATCCGTTGACCTCCGGCTCGTGTCTCTCGAGGCCGTGTCAGTTTGTTTGTTTTGTGTTCAGGTCCGCCCCCCGGACTCGCCCCCCTGCCGGTCCCCCCTGCAGGTCAGCCTCCACTCTCAGGGCTCAGACGGGTCGGCGCCGCAGGACGACTTCGTCATGGTCGACTTTGTGAGTACCGAGGCGCCGAAAGACAAAAAGCTCATCGTCTGTTCGGTCGTTGACAGCCGTGTCTCCGCCTGCAGCGCCCGGCCTTTTCCAAAGACGACCTGATGCCGATGGACCTGGGCACGTTCTACCGCGAGTTCCAGAACCCGCCGCAGCTCGCCAGCCTCTCCCTCAACGCCAGCTCGCAGTCAATGGCCGACGACCTGGTGCGCCGAGCCGAACTTCTGCTCCGACAACAAAAACAAACACGCTAACGTTTGTGTCGTCCGTCCGCAGGACTCGCTGCCGGAGAAGCTGCGCGCCTACGAGAAGAACATCGACGAGTTCGACGCCTTCGTGGACACGCTTCAGTAGAACTTCTGGTCCGCGTTACAGAAGAACGGTTTCACTTCCTGCTACTGATCGACGCCGAAGGCCCCGTGTCCTGACCCAAGAGCCCAGCTGGTCTGAGTTCAGCTAAATCTCCTCTACGTTTTAACTTCAGCGTCTTTGAGTCGGAGGAACTTCAAGTTCGGGAGTTTTAATCTCCGTGGTCAGGAGGGTCGTGTACGTTTTGTGAATTTGTAAAAAAAAAAAGGGATAAATGTTTCCACAGAAAGCTTCAAGTGAAACCTGTTGTAGATCTAATAAAGCATGTTGGTCCTCAGAAGGCTGAGGCTACGTTCACCCCGCAGGCCCTCCAGCTCGGATACGATTGGTCAGATCTGAGGAGATCGTGACATCACGCTAACACGTTAGCATGCGTGGTTCAGCGTTAGTTACACTGAAGGTAAACGTTGATGCGGTCAGATGCTAATGTTAGCATCAGCCGCTGCTGGAGCATCCGTCGTCGTTCCAGACATAAGAATACGAAGCAACTGGACTTCAAGACGTGCGGAGTAATACGATTTAAACCGCACGAGGCTGGCATTGTCAATACTTGGGTGGAGGCGTTCCTCCTGGATCCGATTCAGGACCACATTATTTAAGACCTGGGTCGGATTCATTAAAACACGTTCAGTCAAATAAATCCGATACAGGTCACTGGAAGGAGAAAAAGATTTGAGCTGCATCTGCCTTTAGGTTGAACGTAGCCGAACTAATGATCACCTCATACAGATCGTTTTTAGCTGCTCTTAGTCGATCACACTTTAAAAACTGAATAAAAGTTTTTGTTTGATTCGTTGTGACGTTTTTTTTTATCAACGTCTCAAAGACTCTTCTGAAGCTCAGCTGGCAGGTGATTGGTTCAAACCCAACGAGTTTATTGTCCCCGATGCCGAGAATCAGATGGACAGTGGACACCTTGTTAAACTAAACAAGAAGGTTTAGTTCCTTCAAATGTTTAGTCAGAGGACTCTGGTGGACAAGGCCACCGTAAATGACTCCTTCCATAAGACATTTCTTCTTTTCCCCTTCAAGGGCCACCACAGTGAGTCCTCCATCTCTGTCCTCTCTAGGTGTCCAACTACCTCCACATCCTCCAACTGCATCCATACAACTTATGTCTTTTTCCTGCACCTGCACGTCTAACATCCTTATACCAATATACCCACTGTCCCTCCTCTGGACATGTCCAACCCACTGTCCCTCCTCTGGACATGTCCAACCCATCTCAGTCTGGCCTCCTATCTCCCAGTTGATCAACCTGTGCTGATCTCTGATGATCTCTACTAATCTTCTCCATCCTCTTCTTTCAAGTGCATACCTCCACCTCTCCAAGACATTTCCAAACCTCTGGTCATCAGGTCCTAACGTCTTCCCCTTCATTCTTTTCAGAGCTTTCTGGACTTCACCCTCACCAAATCTTTCCCACTTCCTGGTCCACAGTTTCTATGATCTCTTCTTTCTCTTCATTCATTAACTCCTCAAAGTTCTCCCTCCATCTTCCCACCACTCACTTGTTAGAACATTACCATTCCCATCTTTAACAAGCCTCATCTTTAACCACCTCCCTAACCAGGAGCAGGGAGGTGTGTGGAGGGGGGGGGGGGGGGTCAGGCAGTGTTCAGCCATCCTTCTCACCAATGGGTGCAAGTCCTCGTCACCCTCCCATACAAGTCTCCCCTGCCACAACCTTGGTCTCCCTCAGGTTTGTCCCTGTTGGAAGTGCTGACTCAAGCCATTTCTGTTCTTTTAGCAACATCAGGTGCACGACTGACAGGAGGAGCCATTTTTTAGGTTTCAAATCAAAAAGCAGAACTTTTCTCAAACGTGTTTTTATTGTTGGTTTTTCTCCGATTCCATGTCATTTCTGCAAGACGACTGCAAAGGGTTAAAAACCAAGACGTCGAGTTTAAGGTGGCACTTTATGATCACGTAGCTCCAGCTCGTCTCGCACCGAGGCTGCGAGCGACCACAGGTCAGAGTCTTTGAGGGGGGAGGAAGGGGCGGAGCCTGAAGCGTTCCACTTCCTGTGAGCTCCGCTTCAACCCGCCCAGGCAACTTAACACAACTACAGTATGAAGATTTTTTAAGAGTGAGCCACTGAAACATGCCGTTACTCTGAAACAAACCCCCCAGAACTGTGGCAGACGGAGGCCGTGACCCCCCAGGTAACACTGGGAACATGGAACAAAAAATAAAATTCACAGGAGACGGGCAGGGATTGCCCAGGGTGCACGTGCACCTTTTTAGCAGCTCAGGCCACAAAATGTCTGCCCCTCCCCCCTCCTTTGAGCCAGTCCAATGTGTTGCATGAGGGGGGTGGGGGCACCTTTGATAGTCCTGTCGAACCCAGACAGAGAGAAGTCAGTGGTCGGTGAATGGTTTGAGAGAAACGTCCAGATAGAAGACAACGCCGACTCCTTAAATACAGAACCCAATGTCCTCCGTCAGCTGTGTCCACCTGCCCCCCCAGTCTGCTTCAGATATGCTGAGGAGGTGATGGGGGGGCGGGGGTATGGGGTGAAGCCGCTACAGATCAGAGCAGGGAGGTGTGTGTGGAGGGGGAGCGTTTGGGCTGGGGGGTTCAGGCGGCGTTCAGAAGGTCCTGGATGGCTTTCTGCTGCGTCTCGTTGAGCGACGAAACGCACTGAGTCCACAACCCGGCCGACGCCTGCAGGGAACAACAAACCCTCGTTTAACTTTCAACCAAATGTAGCTTTTAGCTGCCGTCTTGCAGTGTTCATTCAGTTCCGCTCTCCAAACGCCGCCGCTCACCTGAACCTGACGGACGACGTTGGCGAGGCGCTTGCTGCACGCGTCTTCGCTCTTGACGGACTCGTTGGCGACGCCGTCGGCGATGATGAGGAAGACCTTGGGAAGGTTGGAGTTGTCCGGCCCGAGGACGATGGGGTTGTTGCTGCGGGACAGGAGCGACGTCAGGAACACAGGAAACCGTTTGGGGCGAGGGGGAGGAGCCAGGCCTACCTTTCGATGAGGTCGCACAGGAAGTCGAACGTGTGCACGGCCTCCTCCTTGTCTTCTTTGAGTGGCAGCCAGCCGAGCCAGTGAGGAAGCACCTCGCCGACATTGACGCACTCAGGCCGGAACCTCATGAGCTTCCCAACGGCAGAGATGCAGTTCTCCGTGGCGTTGATGTTCTCCGACTGCGCGTCGGCCGCCTGGATGACTCCGACCAGCATCGGGAGCGCCTCTGAAACAGGAAAGCCAGGAGGTGAAGCGGCGCTCCGAGAGCAGCAAACCGACGATGAGCGGCGTCTACCTGTGCAGAAAGGGCGGTAGTTGTCTCCACCGAACTGAGCCATGACGCCGACGCCGTAGGCCGCCGCCTGCCGGACCTCGGGGCTCGAGTCGCACAGCGACTGCAGCATCGGCCGCAGGAAGTACTCAGCGTACTTGAAGGAGGAGGGGCTGCAGTGCTCCACCACGTCGTCGAAGATGCACAGACCCCACTGCCGGTCGGCCCACGGCCTGCTGGGACTCTGAGGACAAGCGGGACACTCGGGTCAGTTCGGGTCCGGAGCAGGAGCGGGTTCTCCCAGAGCGGGCGGGGACTTACGATGAGCTGGACAATGAGCTGCAGCAGCTGCTCGAACCACGGCAGGACCTTCTCCTTGTAGCTGCTGAACACGGAGTGCAGGATGTCCGACACTTTGGTCAGGATGTACACGTCGTTCTCGTCCTGGAAACAAAAATTAAAACTAAAACCGGTTTCTTCACCGTCTGACGGAGAACCCACCGGTCCTCACCTCGTCCTGCAGAGACTCCTCCACCTGCTCGTCGTAGTCCTCGTCCTGCCTCTTTGCTGTGGAGAGCGAGCGGTTAGCACCGAGACAGTTTTACACGTTGGCTGTGTGTGTGTGGGGGGGGTTACCTTGTCGGAGCTCCTGGTTCTTGAAGTGCTCCTCCAGCTTGGCCTTCAGGATCCCGCCCAGCTCCTCAAAGTGCTCGTTGTTCAGGCAGCCGTCTCCCATCAGCTCCACGCACTGAAACACAGTCAGTCAGTGAACGCCGCTTCCATGCAGCCGAGATGCCTTCAGGGACCCCGAGTCGCCTTCAGGGACCCCGAGTCGCCTTCAGGGATTCAAGGTTCTTGGTTTACCTTGGCGAAGGAGTGCATGATCTCCGACAGGACGTCCGAGTCGGGCTCTGTGCCGATGGCCTTGATGAGCGTGTCGCACATGAAGTGCCACATCTGGGTGAGGTACTCCGGCCCTCGGACCCGAGCGCACTCCAGCAGCAGGGGCATGGATTCAGCCGCTGCCACGCGCACACGTGGACACGGTTAAAGGAAACAATCATGGTGGTGATCAGAGGACAGAAGGGCAACGTTAGCCTTGACCAGGGGTCAACAGCACATGGAGGTTTCATGGTCCCGACAGAGGCCTCAACTCCTTCACAGACCTCTGGGAAAGAACCGAAGGGGGAGGGTTCCCAGGCTGTTTATTTACAGCCAGAGAGAGTACCGGGGCTGAAGAGGGGACGGATGATTTTTTTCTTGTTTTGGATAAACGGAGATAAAATTATTACAAAGATCATTAGTGGAGTCAGTGAGTGATGGTGGACAACAGTATTTTGGAGTTACCAGGGTTGTTGGAGATTACAGGAGTAAAATAAAGGTCAAGAGTCTTCCAGGGACCTGGCTTACATCTTACGATGCTCCAGATGAGCTAGCAGACCAGAAGAATCTCTCAAGCACTCGACTTCATTTCCCTCACCTCTGTCAGGAGCACGGTGGGCTGATGTTGTACAAGTTCACCGCACTGAGGGAAGCTGGGAGACAGGAACGAGGAGCTTAAGATCAGCTGCTAGAAGTTCAGAGTTCATGTTTTTTCAGATGTCTAAAAGAGATCATTTGATGCAACTGTCCAGGAAAGGAAGCTCCAGGTAGATACACTCATGTCATCTGCAGAGATGATGATGCAGTCAGAGAGTTTGTAATGTCCAAGTCCAGGGTGTGACCACGAGAACGTGTTGGAAGCTCGACATGTTGTCCCAAGTCCATACAGTCCAAGAGCTGAAGGCATTCAGCAGCTAGCGGATTAGTAGGTGTATCAACATGAATGTTGAGATCCGAGTACGAGTATGTTAAACAGAACATCGACAGTCTCAGACGCCTCAGGAAAAAAGGTTGAGATTTAGGAGGTCTATAAATGAGGAGCACTTCATTGAGTCTGGAGGAAAAAGCCAAACACTCAAAGAAGCAGAACTCACCGAGTCACAGGCGGAAGGTCCAAATGATCTTTAAAAATGACAGCAAGACCACCGCCACAACCTGAACTCCCTGCTCCCTGGAGACATTTGTGTCCAGCAGGACATGAGCCGTGTGGCTGATGCCAAGTCTCTGGAAGGCACAAAAACATCAAAATCCTTGTCCTGAATGTGGTTTCTATAGTCCACGTGTGGTTTCTATAGTCCATGTGTGTCCAAGTGTGGTTTCTATAGTCCACGTGTGGTTTCTATAGTCCACGTGTGGT